AAAAGACCAGATTCTCCACAACCTGCTATGAAATAGCTCCTAGCTAAGCTCAAGGTTTTGCAAAGCAAGGAAATATAGAATATACCCACAGCTCCTAAAGTCAGACAGGCGAGTGCAGTGCAACCATAGCTGAGGCATCTCCAGTGTTACTTGGATACGTCTGACCTTGCTAGAGCTAGGCAAGTTAGTCTGAGAAAAATAAGTGAAATGAAGCTCTGAATTTCACTCACACCCTTTTTAGTTCTGAAAGAGTGGTGGCACCTGTTCCTCATAAGGCACCAATGAGATCCTTAACAAGAGATGAAAGTATTTGCAAGAGGGATCCAGCATATTTAACTACAGAAGTAACATTTGCAATGGAAATAGAGCTATAATCCTTCTAGTTTTGAAATTACAAGGCACCTAGAAAGAGACTGCAAAACACACTTAGCTTGACACACACTTTCCTAGGTCTATGTTAGAGAGTCAAGTCTCCAATTTTTATGTAATCTGTGAAGAGAGATGTAAGCCAAACATTAGTTCTTCCAAGAGAAGCTATACTTAGTCTCACACAATTACATCAAGCTGGAAACAGACAAATTTAAAATGATTAAAGGATTATCCTTTTCCATCAACTAGCAAGAAATCTAAAGCAAAAACAAAGCAAAAGAAAAAAGTAATAAAGCACTCTGTAAGCATAAATTGAACATTGTTCATGCAGTAACTGAAGACATTAAACCCAGAATCCTGTAATACAATTTTTAAAATCCTTTTTCCTGCCAGAACCACACTGTAGTTTGTCATAGTAGGGAATCTGTGGGAGACAGAGCACTAAAACCTTCTGGGTACATAACTTTCTGTACATCAGGAGGGTAGGCACAAGACATTGCCAAGATTTATTTATTACAAAATCATGTATTAGGCATTTAGAGTCAAATCTGTTAATTTCCTATCTCACACCAAAGGACTTTGTATGGGAATATAAGAGGGAGAAATCCCCTGCAAACAGATGCGTTTCTAGCCATGAACAGCATACAAGAGAAATTACTCAACAAACTAAGAAAAATGTCATGTGTTCAACATGTGTAAATATCTAACAGGTAAAACAGAAGCACGGCCTCCTAATGCATCTTCTGTTTTTCTGTTCCTTGAATATTTGTCAAAACCTGAAAGCTCTGGTAGCAGACAATCAAAAATAAGCACCGTAGAATAGTATTTTAATTCCATGGAAGAAGCTTCTGCTTTAAATAGGAATATTATCTACCCCTCCATCTCAAGGTCCACTGACAAATCTGCTTTGTTTTTCAGGTGGTTTGTCATTCAGCTGTATATTAAGAGAATAATCAATGGAAAGTACCTCTTTTATAAATAAATAATAATCAGGTTACTATAGTTACCTTGTCTGAAACATTCAATAAATAATGCATCTCATTGAGTCTCATAACCTTTGCTCTCAGTCATCTCTAGAAAAGTTTTTTAAAATTTAAACTGATTTTAAGCTCCCTGTTTTTGTAATCTTTGGGTTTTCATTCAATTTTTTATTTTAGTGGGAAAGATACCTCTTAAGTAAAAATACAAAATATGTTAATAAATGTTATTTTAGAAGGGTGAAAAATACACAATTACATGGATATTTGGTCACATTAAAATGAAAACAGCCATTGGACTTTGCTACAATTAAATGGTTGCATGTAAAAGAAAAATTACTCTTTGGTACCTAAACTGACAAGTCATTTTTAAATCTGTATCTGGAATTCTCCTTTAAAAATATTCACACATTCAGTATACTTGGCTGTAATTAAAAAAATATAAGTGCACTTTTGTTTTGCAAAGCAATCAGTATAAAAAAAAGAAATTATCTGACTTACTACTTAAAGGCATTCAGGTCAGAGATGGAGCACAATACAGCTAAACAAACGTTTCAGCATTTAAAACAGTAAGGCCAGATTTTGTAAGTAACCACCCAGCTTTTGACTTCAGCGTCTCTCTGAAAAGCAAACACTGAAACCCCTTCTAGACCCAGAAGCTTCCAGGCTTTTACATGGAACTGCTGATGACTTTGAAAACTGCCAGTTGCATGACCACACTGACTCAGAAGTAAATAAAACAACATAATTACTGGGGTAAGGTGAACTTGATCAACACATTTCCACCCTTGAATTCAGTTGGAACTTTGTGATTTGTAACACTACTTTGATCTGATGTCCCTGGGAGAGCTGATAAATTATGCTTCTGCTGCAACTCTCCATTATTCTGAATGCACAAACACAAATTCCAGGGTTCTCCACCAGCTCTTACAAAGAAAAATCGGTCTGAAGCAGCCCTTCAGGCTGTTAATATTCTAACTCATGGCATTCAAACTGTAATCCATGAAGACTCAGTTGATCGGTGGTGCAGATCAAACATTTCTTTGGCTTGACTAAGGAAAGCTGAGTATAAATTAATGGCACATTAACGAACTTTTAAGAATTTGAGGAATGTAATGTGGATATTACCTGATGGTGATTAAGGTAAAGACACAATTTTTACACTAGGATATGGTGTACGCTTTCAAAATGTCTGAAAACCACCACTATAAATGTTTCTAAGAACATAACTACAGTAAACCAAAATAACAGAGCTGAATGACCAAGGTTAGGATCTCGGTTGTCTTTCTGTCTCTGCCTCTAACACTTGCCTAAAAATATGACAGTTTTGGACAAGAACTCCAACACTGAGGAAAAAAGGGTTAAAAAGTGAAGAGGATTTAGACATCAAACAACTCAAAATAATACTGTTACTTCAGGAAACTTTGTGCAGACCTTAACGAGAAAAGGAGACCATCACATAGAAGAGTGATGAGAATTCTTGTCTGCGGGTCAGCAATATTGCAACCACACAGGAATTCTTATTTTATGGAACAGATTTTGAGGGCGTTGGCACAGCAAGCACCTTCAAGTCTATGTGAACAGGTGATCTGTACATCTGTAAATACTTTTACATATCCATGTTGCTTTGGTGGCTTTGGGGTTTTTTTTACTCATAACATTACTGTCCCAAACTTTTTCTTGGGCACCAGAAACCCAGCCCTCTACTACATTTTTTTACATACACTGAAAATAAAAATTTTAATCTTATCCAAAGACTATAAAATAAAGATATCTGAATAAAGATAGCTGAATTCCTAGATCAGGCATGTTCATATGACTGAATAATGCTGAAAAACTCATACAATGGTACTTACTTTTTGGAGAACATCATGTTGCTACTGGTGATTACTGCATTAGGTGTAAAATTTTTTTAGTTGAAATCCTAAGGGTATCAACAATCTGTCTGTAATACATACACAATTTCTTCACACAAGCTTATCCTTTAGTACTCCTCTATAAAGACAGGTGACAGTTTTTCTACCAGTCAGGTTTTAATACTGTGAGCTCCAGCTCTGGCATCGCCTGGTGCTCTAGCCTAGAAAAGTAGATTTCACCAAAAGCTCTGCTTTCACAGCAAAATTAATAGTTGCAATGTATCTGAACATAATCCACAATACAAACTGTAGTGAAAATGGATATAAGGTAGTAATTTTTTTCCCCCTCTCAGATAGAGCTTTAAGTAAGCTTTTTTATATTTGGAAAATTTTGCTGACTATATAACTGTACATTTAGATATTTTCATATGTTTTAGCCTTTTATTTTTGTAAATACTTAGACTGTTGAATTGTTGGTTAGAATGAACAGCAAAGATGGACTCAGATGCTGGGTCTAACAACATCAACAACAAAACTTACACAAACTTTCACTGAAAATATTGAGCTTTCAGATTAGCAATAGGTTTACCTCTTTCCCATGTATTTTCATATCAAAGTTCTAAAGAAAAGCACTGTTAAGCCAAATCCTCTAAACATTATGTTGAAAGAAATGTATATTCAGTAATGCATTTTAAAATCTTCAGCTCTTGGATTCAAAGGTGTACAATGTAGAGTGCACTCTGAATAGGAAACTAAATATTACTATTTTTCTTATTAAAAATTTCACTTTTCATTGTATTAGCAAAAAATATCTTATTGAAATGGCATCCACTTTCTAATGGACTTTATAATAAATATTTAATTATTAATGAGATTTCAGGGATATAACCTAATTCAAGTAGATAAAAGAGCAAATGTTAAAATATCAGTGTCTCTAACTTTTCCAAAATATTAAAATAATTTATATACATTGCTATTTCAAAGTTCAAACTGTTTTGCTGGTGTTAATAAACATGGAGAACTAGTATATAATATTTTTGTTGTAGTCAAAACTTCAGAATAAATAAAATTTTTAGTTAATAGCTGAAAGTGCAGATATCATATACAGCTTAGTCTACACCACTGTCACCCAATAATTGATCTTCTATATAGCAAGAATGTAATAGGAAATGCCTAGGATCTAGGTCTTTAATTATGTGGCTGATTACTATGACTGATCAACTAGTTCTTGTGCAGCAGGTAAAACAACAGAATTGACCTAGAAAGCTGAATATCTGATCTAAATAAATGTGCTTTTGGGAATAAGAAGTCATCTTTACAGTGAAAATTTGACTTTTTTACTGCAAGTATCCACACCAGTTCAATTCCTTCTATTTACTTTTCATTTCATTTCATTCCATACCGTACAGTTCTCCTCCACCTTTCTTTATGGTGTAGGTCATGAGTATAACTGTGGTTAAATAAATAAACTTGCTGGTTTGGACACATGGATATCATGCCCACGTCTAGCCAAATTAGCACCAATACAGTAATCCTATTTGACAACAGCAAAGGAGCACTCGTCTGGTGTAGGAGAGAACTTCAGGTTTGCTTTATTTTATTTATTATATTAAGAAAAAGCTGTAGCCTGTTCTTTAAAATTTGCTAATATCAAGCACAATGAAGTTCATCCATATTATAAACCAAATTAACTTCTCAATCAGGGATGAGTTCAACTATAAAAAGTAATCTAACAAACATGTACATAGTGGACAATATAAGCCATATGAGGCTTTACTTTCCCCAATAGTCTTATAAGTTACTTATTACATCCCTGAAACTGGCTTTGACTCGTTGCCTGCAGGTGCTGATTCAGACTTTGATGGCTCTGAATCTGCAACAAAAAAAGATTAAAGTTCTTAGGATAACTTTAACCACAAGAATAAAAAGGTCAACTAAAATACTCAGTTTCTCACTCACATCAATATGCATACAAATTCCAGTACTTTTAATTTTTAACTAACAAGATAGACAAGCTACATACAAAGTTTGCAGTATGATGCAAATATACAACACAACACAAATGTATTATAGATTTACATATGGAACGGGTTATATTTCCTGCCTGATGAGTCTTGGACTTATCCTGTGCAAGAGATAACAGAGAAAGCTCCACCTCAAAAGGGAGCTGCAAGGTGCTGATGCTGCCAATTGCTTTGGATGAGCAGGGGAAGAAAATACAAGCACTACCTTCAGTGCATACCTGAAATAATGAAACAGACAAGGTAAAAACTGAATCAAGGTGCATGACTGGATGAAACCATACTGTTAAGAGCATTAAAAAAAAAAAATCTCCTTTTACACTGAGATATAGAATCAATCTCAATTGGAACAGATGTGATTGACAAAGGAGGGCAATACAAGCAAAGCAGGTGTCATATTATCTAAGAATTTGCAAAAGAAAAGCATCTCAAAAATAAGATGTATCTGTATATCAAACTGTGCAGCATACTGACTTTTCAGCAGCCTTTACAGTATACCCATCATTTTGTTCTCTATGCCTAAGTGGTAATAACCAAACCAATATCATGATGACTCTGAAAAAATCTTCAGCTTTCTTTATAACCTAAATGTCCCATTATAGGCATATTTCACATTAAAGAAATCAACTACCACCAAATGAATGAATTTGAGGTTTTGAAAATCCCAAATCCTTTAATTTTACTCAAAGTAATGGAAAAGAAAAATGTCAGTGCACAAGAAAGTTGAATAGAAACTGGAGACAAAAGAATATTCAAGATTTTTTTTCATGCTAAGGAAGAGTGCTTTTAGACTCCACAGTTGAACTGTTAGGTCATTGCACCTCCCAAGACAGCATCCCCTGCATGATCAGAGGTTGGATACTTAAGCTGACTTTGAAGAGTGGCTTCTCAGGTTATGCACCCTCTTTCAGGTCCAGACTGAGATCTGGCTACATCCCTTAGTTTTATAGCAGTTTTTCTTCTCAACAATAACACACAACTTCTAGTTTTCTGTTTGCCTGCTTTCTTCTGATACTCCCCTGAAGGAAAAGGTTCTGCATACGCATGCAAAAAAATATTACTGTAGATATATTAATGGAAGACACAAAGATGAATTCAGGAAGTGCTGAAGTGTCACAGAAACTAAATTAACTGGCCTCTAAGACTTCCACACATTGATATGTTAAGGTCAAGGCAATTACAGCAATTCCCAATGTATACATAAGTATTCACTGATAGAATTAAAAAAAAAAAAAAAAAAGTCTGGAGCTTGCCATGTGCATGTTCAATAGCATTTTAAAAGGTTATTACAGAAAACTGATATACTCACCATGGTTACCAAGCCACTATAAAAAGCCTAAACAAAAGGTCTTTGACAGAAGGGGAATTTTCCATCCTTTAGCCTTTATATCTAAGTGTTTTCAAGTAATGCATTTCATAGCTATTACCATTATGCATGACAGAGGGAGGTTTGAAATCATAGGTAAACACTGAATAACTTTTTTTCTCTCTAATAAAACTGCTGCAACTCCACTGTCTTCAACAATGCACGTATATTTATTTTGACAATATTTTATGAACAGTGACCATTTCTTAAACATGAGTATTAATAACATTTGTCACAGAAGTTTTCAGAAAAATATTAGGGGCTAAAGACTATTCACAATAAATAGGCAACAAATATTTTACGGTCTGCTTAAATTTAGGCAGGAGGATGGCTGTGTCTCTGCAGCATTTTACAAAAACATGTCACACAGAGGCCCTTGGATTAGAACAGAGCATTCTCCTGCAACTGTAAAGATGAAAAAAACCCCATGAAAGCCCCTGCCTTCACTGACTACAAACAGGAGCACTCTTTTCTTTAGCTGGTCATAAGGTATTGTAAGCTAAGCACAGTAATTCAGTTTACCATATTCAAAGAGCCACACAAACTATTCAGGCTACCCTCTACTCTTACCTTGAGATCCCAACTCCCTTTAAAAGAAACAGCTTTCAAAAATTTTACCTTTGGACTGCTCACTCTTTTCTGATGTTTCTTGAATCTCTTTTTGCCATCCAGTAAACTGCTGAAACCAGTCAGTCCCATAACCATTGCTAATTAATTTGCTAAAGTTTACTGCTTCACTCTTTCTCTGAGCAGGCCTGTAAGTCCAAATATATTAAGAAAAACAATAGCATAAGTAAACAAAAATGGGGATTAGGTGGGAAAACTTTATTTTGCACAGAAAGGGCCAGAGCTTTATTAATTTATCTCTAAGTAATTAAACATATATTCTACATGTAATCACCTAAGGAAAAAGAAAAAAAAACACCCAAAAAAGCACAAAACTACACCTGCTTCAGTAATGAGTAATTCACATGAGAAGAGCCATCCATTTTATTGGAACTTAAGAGGTATAATACTTACATAGTTCTGGTCTTGGAGATGAAAAAGAGAAATCACACAAAGAATGTGTAAGCAAAAAAGGCTGACAATACTCATTCTGTGGTGCATAAAGGTGAAATTTTGTCATAGATTTGCTCATAACTTCATTAGACAGTTTAATCACTTATTTTGCATCATTAACCTATTTCTAAAACATACTGGGATTACTAACGACTGTGTAATAAATTTTTAAGACAAAGTACACAGAAACAATTCAGTTGCGCACACAGCTGATGATGTGATTACATCACAAGTGATATAATAATTTGCTTAAAATATTATCTTCCAGTTGTTCATTACAGTATTTTCGTTGTGCCTGACCTTATATAAGCTACAGTTAATGTGTTTTTCCAAAATGGTAGTCCTACTTGTGTCTCGGTAACTTCTGCTTACAGAACTAACAATGCACACTATAGTTTGCATCTGTTCACTGGTATTGAGAAAAAAATAGACAATTTAGAACACAATAAAGTGTGCTACATGAAGAGATGCAACAGTATGCTTAGTTTTCCTAAAGTAATGTTGAATAGCTTTCCTGTACCAGTTAAAGTACTATTTGTTTGTAAAACTATTTTAGTATCACACGCAATAGCAAGTTTAGTAGCAGTAAGGACCCACAAGTCCATACACATATCCACTAATCTCTGCCATTTCACAAGGAGTAGTATTAATTGCATGCACTAATAGTTGCAGGCTTAGAAATTTAATGAATTTAATATGCGTACTACTTACATAGGTGGGAAGGAAAGCTTATTTTTCCCACTAAATTCCTTGTTTGTAGAAACATTCATCATTCTGCTTGGATATTTAGGGTTTATAGCTGGGAGCTTTACCTGTGTTAGAGAAATATTAACTTAATAAAAGGAGTTAAGATAAAAATAACCAAGAGATTATATGATAATATAATCTTCAAAAGTGAAGTTTATATTAAAGGCCCTAATTGTCTTCAAATTTTACTATCTTAGCTATATTATTTCCATAAGCAAGAGTACAGGAGTACAAATGAATAGCAACAGATAAAGCAGCACCTTAGTTAGTTATCCTGGATGAGCTCAGCTGTTTGTTCAGTATGTCAATAATACTAAATGTGCTCTCCACAAACCTTTCCCTCACAGTACACTCCTACCCAAAGATAAGCTTCAAATTCAAACTTACCCCTTGCAACCTCTCATCTTGGCTCATTTCTCTGTATGCAGTGTATGAAAACATCCCAGTCTTACTAAAGTCAGTGGGACCAAAAATTCATTTCCAGTTTAATTGATACCCTTTTTTTTTAATAAAAAGCATAAACCACCTCATATAATAAGAAAACAGTTGTGGTATATTAATTAGAGGTTTGAAATTCAAACAAATGCAGAGCTATTGGAGGAAGCCTACAAGAGAAAAGTGTATTTTACTTTTATCATCTTTCACTTGCTAACGACAGGTGAAGAAACTCGTGTTGACTTAAAGACAGAAAGATAAGATGACACCTAGATAGCCAGTGAAATGACATCACAGACTCTAGGTCTGAAAGTTGGAAAACCAAAAAGTAATGGAGAAACATCAGCAACCTGCAAAGCTGCTTATTTTAACATCAGTCAAAATCAATAGCTGCTGAGGGTCAACTTACCTCCCTCTGAAATAAAGGCATTAATTTAAATATCCCCCAAAACTCCCAGGTATCTTTCAGCAATATCTGATAAGAAATTCTGAGGCTAAAGAAAAAACAAAATGTCTTTAAAAAGTATTTACAGCTTCCTTCATTGCATTCAGAAAAGAGGGGGGGAAAAAAAGTCTCAAAGATAGCACAAAATTTTCAAAGCTTGTTAACAAAGTTTTTGTGTTATACTAATGTATCTTTTTAACTAGAACCTACCTACATATTATTGGACCATTTTATCTTTTAAACATGCAACACAGGAGAGCACCCCATAGAGTAAGAGGTACTACTTGCAGGTTATTAAAAAAACTCAGGACAGGGTAACTAGAAGTGAAGTGTATTGCTCTGTAAATTTAAAAGTAAAGATACTTTTCACCTATGTGGACATACCTACTGCAGTACAGATAACAGAACAAAAAATTATGAACAGAGTGCAAAACTCAGATGCATCAGCAGCAGAAGCACTTGGATTATAGACACTACAAAACAACTCCCATGAAAACATCCATGAGGAGAGGAATCCAAAACAGATGTAAACACACCATGGACTTCTCAAGGAGCCTGTACACATTTAGTATGGAAAGAGCAGAGAAAAGAATACATCTAATCAGTGAACTAATTAACAAGCCACTAAAGAAGCAGACCTGAATGACCTGAGAGAAAATGAAGCATAGGACAGACAGTTCTAGTGATGCTGAAACAGGATGTCAATACAAACCAATGAGTTAAGTCCGTGCTGAAATCCCTACAGACTTCAGTGGAGTCAGAGTTTCCCCAGAAGAAAAATTCCAGAATCTGGTAAAGAATAAGTGGATGGGCTACTAGATTTCAGCTTGACTGATGTTACGTTGAAGCTTAAAGAAATGAAAAACTGGGACGCTTGTCAAAGAAGAGACGGTACTAGCAAGAGCATGCAGTGATATCAGAGGCCATGATGTCAGAAGAAGAGGGGGATCTCTTGTCCAACTTGGAGGTTAAAAACCACGTTAGCTGCCTAGAACTGCTTTTCAAATCCATTAACACTATTCTTTGCTGAAGCAGCATATTTGTGCTTTACATTTCAAAAATGCCGTAAGATTGTGCAAAAAACAATAGTGCTGTTTTCTTTCTGTCATTAAACAGTACCATTTCAGGTCTGACGCATCATGGAAGTTTCAGATCCAGGGCACAGTTACCTACAGTTTCAGCTGACAAAACTGATTTAATTAGACAAGTAGAAATCATCAGTCTTGGGTAACTTTTGTCACATACTGAAGGCATGATGGCACACAGGGCAACACAGAAACATGACTTGATAGTCAGGATACAGAAACAGTAGATGGAAAGAGATGAGATTCTCCTCTTGGCACTGAAGGAAAGCCTTAGAAGAGGAAGCCTAGTAATTAAAGAGTTCATTAAAGGGGAGGGGGAGGAGGAGGGGGGAAGCCTAAAGAGATTTTGTTTAGAGGTAAACAAAGGCACCAATGTCAAAACTAAAATCAAAGAAAAAAAGGGGAAAGGAAAGGCAATGAGAAAAGACTGAAGGCTGCTAGCAAGTCTTGCACATGGTTTTAAATTTTGTCTTTTCTTGGTATTAAATGAGACAACCTAGCACAAATTGCAGGTATCAAAACGTTCCCTACTGTTCAAATCAGCTAAGGAGTGACAAAATGAGCAAGGGAACAGATCAGAATTTGGTTTTGGAGAGCATCTGCAGTCCTGTCAGGTGCTGTTTGTTACTTTGCTGGGCAAATTCAGCATTAAAAGAAGACCTTTGCACCACTACACCCCAATGGTTATAGCTGAGGAGGCATTTTCACTTTGACAAGCCTTTATTTAATAACCAACAAGTTTCCAAGATAAAGTAAAGTATGTAGGACACTTTTTACATGTTCTCAGTTTATAGCGTTCTCTCCCTTTGTGAGAAGATGGCAATGACATACCCTAAAAACTACTATCTAAATTTATTATACATACACATTTATTAGTCTCAGATTCAAGAAACATGAAATGTGATATCTATTGTGCCTGGCTGGTATATGAAGAACAATGGATATCTGATGCCGGCACTGAAAGCTAGAAGCCCCCAGATGAAATCCTGGCTCCCCTGCGATCAAGGGAAAAATTCTAGATTACACTTCAGAACTCTCTCTGAGGTAAAATCTTGACCTCAGATGAGTAATACTCTTGCTACAGCACATATATACATATGCATGTATGCATATATACACATATATTGTGCCTGAAAGATGTGACTTCAGACATGAAGTAGTAATCTTACGGGTACGGCAGGAAGATTGCCTAATGCTAACCCTGATACCACCTCCAACTGATCTCCCACCCATACATAGTCTGCCTTTTTCTTAAGGTCATGGCATTTTCAACCCAACCCAGCTGGTCCACATGATGCATAGGCAAAAAGATGCATCCACCTGGGCTAGCAGTCCATCGCTTTGCCATAAGCACAAAGACTAAATCCTTCACGCATTAACACATATTTGCTGCTTTGCAAAATTCACAGAAGAACAAGAATTATCCCCATGATGAAGGCATTATGGAGGAACTACAAGATCCACCTTGAGGCATGGAGAACCATGTAATGGTCCCCCTGATCTCCAGTCCTCCTCTATGCAGTTACAAGCATAATAGGATGAACAGTGGAGATTCTAATACTTCAGAACAAAGTGGCATAGAGGCTTAAAGCTCCAGAGCAAGGGCCCACTTGAGAACAAGCTTTTCCAGACTGAATAGAAGAGGTATCCTTAGAGGTTAAAATGTTTTTGCAGGAATCCCTTAAGGGATCCCTTTGGGATTTATCTCCACGATTGCATCATGCATCTCTCTTCTGAACAACTGCTTAGTCAGACTGGACTGAAAAATATTTTCAATACATTCAGTCTCAATACTAGAGGAAGTTTGCTGCTGCAGTATCACCATGTAGTAAAATAAATAATTTAATATTCCTTAGAACTTTGCCTGTGGTGCTTTGGAACACATCTCTTGCATTTCAACATACAAGATGTACAGTGAGAAAACTGAAATCAAGACTGTTTGGTAGGGCTAGTTCCAATATCTCACTTGAAGACTCTTCAGGAAGGTACTCTTAAGGCACAGGATAGAAACCTCCTACAAAAGGAGATACAAGAAACAGCTGTGAAAGAAGCACCATGTGATTTTACAAGATATATGAGACACTTTTCAGGTTACAAGAAAGGTACACTGAAGGACAGCCATTTCAGAGATGGTGGTGTGGAGGTAAAGCTAAAGCTAGAAACACAGAATCTGCCTTCTCGGGTGCCTAAACTTAAACAAAAAGATTTGGTAGGTTTAGTACCTTAGACAAAATTCAACTTCAGGTTCCAGAAAAGCAGTGTAAATTATATATCAGAGCCTCAGCAGATTTGGAATCTGAGCTGAATATATAACATATATTCACTTTGTATTTGGTAATCAATAAACACATGGGAACTTTCATTCACATGACTGAATGAAACTGGGTCTTGATCAAACTCCACCCAAACAGAAATAGACCTCAATCTCACTTTACCAGTCACCACATGGACTTGAATTACTCTGACTGTTATCAAAGTTAAATTTGACTCTTAGAGCACTGAAGATAATTGATTCTCAAGTAAGAGAGTGAGGACAGCACTTCCTCTCCCTCCTAGTTCCATCTTTTAAGAGGCTCTGTGGCAGGCTAAGTTTCTATATTCAGTGCCTTAAATCTCTGACTGAAAAAAAGTGTCACCTATAAGCATCAGGCAAATTACAGTTTAAGCATATGTTGCTTGTTTGTTTCCACAGATTAAGCAAATGTTCCCAAGCCTAATCAGAAATGAGGTGTTCCTATTTACACAAGCCATCATTCTGAATTTGCACTATTTACTCATTTCTTTAGAGGTTAAGGACTTTTTTTTCCTAAAATGTCCAACGTCTGCCCCTCTGTTCAAGAAGGGAGGTACTGGTGTTCAAGTACCTCACATGCCTTTCCAGGTATACTCCAAAAACCTATGGTAAATGAGGCAACCAAGATTACAGAGGATATTAAAAAAACATAAGGCTTCAGCATCTAAAATGGGCAAGGGCAGGGAGGATGAAAGAGGGAGGATGGGAGAGAAGTTTCCAGGACAAAACACCAAGATCATCACAGAAAGGTTTCTTCTGGGCATAGCTTGTGCTATACTTATTTTGTCTTGGATACATCTTCCATTCAAAGACAGTTAGTGTAGTCTCTTTGAGGACTCTCTTCTACTTTAAACCAAAACAAAGTCCTTTTTTGGAACAGGCTTCTGTTCCTCCCTCCTTTTTATTTCTTCCTCTCCCAAGATCGTTAAACAAGAATTCTGTACACCGGGAGTAAACTGCAGGGGAAATAAAGCCTAAGAAGATAGAAACGAACTCCAGGCTTTAATTCACACTTAAGTATCCATCCCATATAATGTAATTGGAAACTGCATTTCTGGTTCATATGCTATACCTGTAGCGCTTAAAAGAAACACAGCTTTCTTCTCATTCTCTAAGTGCAATATAAACATTGCTTCTGAAATACAGAAACTCGGGTGGACTACAGCTTCCCTTCTATAAGAACCCACAGGCCCAGCTAGAAGTGTCTTTACAAGCTCTACAAACAAAGCATTGTCACAGAGTGCCTCACCATCATACCTTCTTTTTCTCTGTGTTTTCTTTGTCCTCAGCATCCCGCTGCCAAACACTTTTCATATCAAAATCAAAAGGCCCTCTTCTGGGTTCATAACTGTTACCATGATGTTCATCAGCCTTAAACTCTCTGTGAATCATATAATCTGGTAGAGAGGAAACAGAGCTCCTGCAAGCAAAGATGTAACACTTGTTTGCACAAGGGATATGTATCTTGCACTTTAGTACCAAAGTATTTTGAAAAACTAACAAGTAAAGAGAGAACCCAAGAAGTTACACGGGATCTCAGCAGACTTACTGTGGCTCACTGGTCGCTGGGGGATTGGAGCAGTGCGAGAACCAGTCAGGCACAGCATATGCTGCTGGAGAGGACTTCGCTGTCACAGAAGTGTAGTGCTTCAGTAGGTCTTGAGAGAAAAAGACAAAAGCCACTATTTTTCTGACTTCTTATCTGGTTGCAAAAGCATTCCCTTTGTTTCCAGGTTGCTGTTTTATCAGGAAGAAACACTCGCTTTATTCAGTAAGGAGCATTTGTCTCCCTCGATAAAACAGACAGTCAGAACCTTGCAGCACTGTGTTCCACTTGTACCTTGTTTATCTTGCTCTAAATGTTTTGATGTATTTCTACCAGTCTGTTACTTCATATGTCTGGATTTGTTAGCCTGCTCTAAGCATGTGTGCAAGGCATCTGCTCAAGTTCCTCAAGCTTCCTTCTTTGATAAAGGAAATAACAAAGCCACAGATCACCTTGGTACAAGGACACAGTGTGTACAGCACTGTAACAAACTGAATGTCATCACAAACTGAATGTCATCACAAAAACCACTTTATAAACCTCTACAAAGTTTTCTGATGATGCTTTTTTGTGACACTGTTTTCACCAGACCACTACTTAAATAACCCAAGTATAAATTGTAAACACCTCACTCAAATGCAGCTAAACTGTCATCATCTACTTAGATCAAACACATTTTGCTAAAAGGAACCTATACACAACAGACTGCAAGGCTTGACAAGATGACCTCTTACATCACATTTTCAATTGCTCATTTTTCCTATAGGTTAATTTCAAAACTCCACAGGATTCTTCTGTAGTATCTACAAGCACTTTCTACCACCACTCTCGAGCAAAGCCAAAGAAAACAAAGGAAAAACAAACAAGTGAGACAGACGCTCACCAGGTTGGCCTCCTTGCTTTGCCAGCCTGACGTAAGCTGAATCAGTATCCTTGATCCACTTCCTGCGGCACCCAGACGGCACTTCATGGGGAGCTTCTGCAAGGTCACCCAAACCTGGAATCTGGGATGTTGGAATACATGTGCTCTTCGAGGTTACCAACTCCTCTGGTTGTTTCAGTGCCATGTGGTATTATTGTCCTGCAATAATGGAAAAGAATATATTTATGGTAAAAGTTAACTACTAGAATCCCTTTTTCAGGGAACTAACAAATCAAGCCTACCTGAAACTTAAACAACATGCTGCATTTCAGCTTGGAGACAGAAGAACAGGCTTGCTTATTCTAGAGGATATAGTACACACAACTTCTAGCGCACCAGATAAAACAAGGGAACACCTTGGTTTCAGTTTTGAAACAGCGTTCAAGTTTTCACATAAGTATTCTAATATAGGGGATCGTGCACCTTCTTGCAGAAAACTAATTCCAAGGATACCAAGAGCAGTAGGAGGCACAGAGACAGCAGGAACCACTTAAGCCTTTGGTTTCCTTTCCTCCTCACTCATTAATAAAAGCAAAGACAGTACCTGTCTGTTTGCAGGTCTTTATTTGTAAAACAACCAAACCAAATCCCCAAACTGCTCACCTCCTTACCTTAAAAAAAACCCAACACCCTACCTCCCAATACATTCCCTTCTCAACTTCTAGTCAGCAAAAAGAAAATATAAATAAATCCTCATTAATGGGAAAATGAAGTGGAAGATATGGAAAAAAAGCCCAAAACAAAGAGTCTAAGGAATTATGCCACGAAAGATGCGCAGAACACTTACTGACTCGTCTCCAAGTGCAGCAAATGCCGTTCTGTAGGTGTAAGCAAGCTATCTTAAGGCAGGCATCCTACTAAAGAGCTCTTAGGTAAACACAAACATTAGCTATGCTGAAACTCAGCTCCAAAAGAAAAACAACGCAAAGCACTCATTCTCTTTGGTATCAGGGGTAAAGAAACATTGCACTCTGTTTTCTTTCACTTCACTAATTGCTCCATCAGAAACTGCTCAACATAATTATCCCAGGTGGTCTCCTTCTTTTTAATTTGCTGAGTTTCTAGTGTCTTGGATCTTTACTGCATGTAATGGCTGAAAATTCAGGAAAAAACAAACAAAGAAAAACCCCAAAAAAACAGACCCAAGATTTAATCTACAGTGGATCAGAAATCCTAGATAAAAGGCCGGGGGGTAAACAAACAGGAACTGGCTGCTGTGTGGGTCCCTCGGTGGTTGCACTTTACTGTGCCATTAACTTCCATCCCACAGCAACGGCCCTGGTGCCTGGAAAACCGACTTAGTAGCAAGCCTGTAATAGAAATTAAGCATGCCAGCCACCACAACAGGGTCTGACTCCAGCTCTCCAGGGAAGATATTTATGGAAGTGTTTGTTACTAATAGCGCTGAAGCTTGAGCCGAGTGCCCCCAAAGAGGGACCCCTGGGCAATTGCACCCTTACAGTCCGAGTTCCCCACCCCTCGCCCGATAGTTCGGATCAATGGTAATTATTAAGGTCTGGGATCTCCTTGCTTTTATACTGGTTTGAGCTGTTTGCTCTTTCGTTTAACAGTTGCTCAGCGGTCATCTTCTTCTAGAGTATCCAGGGGTTTCTATCCCGTTTCACATCCTCTGAGGCCAGTTGTGGGGAGTTCTGTAGTTAGCTTTCCAGCATGATGTAACATGGGTGTTACAGTTCAGGTACCGCGCTCTCTAGGCTCCGTCTGCGCTACCTACTAACGGGGCAGCTGTTAGTGCCGAGTTGCAACTCACTTTTTGGGTAACCAGCCGGCGCTCTCC